TGGTCCATCCTTTGGTCTCAGTGTCCCCTCTTGTCCCTCTGCCACTGTCAGTGTCCCCTGTTGATGCCAACGTCCCCTCGTGTCCCTCCATTGGTGTCAGCATCCCCTGTTGTCCCCCCATTGGTCTCAGTGTCCCCTCTTGTCCCCCCATTGGTGTCATCGACCCCTCTTGCCCTTCCATTGGTGCCAACATCCCCTTGTGTCCCTCCATTGATGTTGATGTCCCCTCGTGTCCCTCCTTTAGTGTCAGTGTCCCCTCTCATCCCCCATCGATGTCAATGTCCCCTCTTGTCCAAATCGGCAGGACCCCGAGGTGCAGAAGCACGCGGCGCAGATCCTGCGGAACATGCTGCGGCAGGAGGAGGCCGAGCTGCAGGTACGGCCCTGGCCCGGGGACCGTGGGGACAGGGATGTCACCTCCTGGCCCTCTGCCGCTGTCTGCGTCCCCTCTGGTCCATCCTTTGGTCTCAGTGTCCCCTCTCATCCCCCCATTGGTGTCAGCATCCCCTGTTTTCCCTCCATTGATGTCGATGTCCCCTCGTGTCCCTCCATTGGTGTCAGCATCCCCTGTTGTCCCTTCATTGATGCCAATGTCCCCTCTTGTCCTTCCATTGGTCTCAGTGTCCCCTCGTGTCCCTCCATTGGTGCCAACGTCACCTCGTGTCCCTCCATTGATGTCGATGTCCCCTCGTGTCCCTCCATTGGTGTCAGCATCCCCTGTTGTCCCTTCATTGATGCCAATGTCCCCTCTTGTCCTTCCATTGGTCTCAGTGTCCCCTCGTGTCCCTCCATTGGTGCCAACGTCACCTCGTGTCCCTCCATTGATGTCGATGTCCCCTCTTGTCCCCGTATTGATGCCAGTGTCCCCTCTGGTCCCCCCATTGGTGCCAATGTCCCCTCTTATCCCTCTGCCACTGTCAGCATCCCCTCTTGTCCCCCCATTGATCCCAGTGTCCCCTCTCATCCCCACTTTGGTGTCAGCGTCCCCTCTTGTCCTCCCATTGATGCCAACGTCCCCTCTCATTCCTCCATTGGTGCCTACGTCCCCTCTCATCCATTCACCGGTGTCAGCTTCCCCTCTTGTCCCTCTGCCACTGCCAGCGTCCCCTCTTATCCCTCTGATGGTGTCAGCGTCCCCTCTCGTCCATCCTTTGGTCTCAACGTCCCCTCTCATCCCTTGGTTGGTGTCGATGTCCCCTCTCACCCCCCCACTGATGCCGGTGTCCCCCCCTTGGTGACGCGGTCCCCTCGCTGTCCCCGCAGCGTTTCTGCGAGGCCTACAGCCGCAACCCCGCGCTGGCGGTGGAGGAGCAGATCGAGGGCGCGCGGCGCCGGGTCAGCCAACTGCAGCTGAAGATCCTGCAGGAGAGCGGGGCCTCCGTGGTACGGCGCTGGCGGGGTCACCCCGCGTTTAACGGGGTCACCCCTCATTTCATGGGGACACCCCGTGTTTAACGGGGTTACCCACACATCTGGGGGTCTGGAGCCTGGGGGTCCCTCCTGGGGCAGTGGGCACCCCCTGTGGTTCCCAAACCCGCTGTGCTGGGGGTGGCTGTGTCCCCGTGTCCCCGTGCGCTGGGTTCATGGCACCCCTTCCCCTGCAGGATTTGGGGCGGCTGAGCAGCGACTCCGGGTCGGTTTTCCGGGCGGCGGAAGGTGAGTTGTGTCTGTGGCCCAGATGTGTCCCCGTGTCCCAGATGTGTCCCTGTATCCTGGATGTGTCCCCATGTCCCAAATGCGTCCCCATGTCCCAAACACGTCCCCACGTCCTGGATGTGTCCCCATATCCCAAACACATCCCTGTGTCCCAAACACGTCCCCATGTCCCAAACATGTCCCCATATCCTGGATGTGGCCCCATGTCCCAGTGTCCCCATGTCCCAAACACATCCCAGTGTCCCCATGTCCCAGTGTCCCCATGTCCCAGTGTCCCCATGTCCTGGATGTGTCCCCATGTCCCAAACACGTCCCTGTGTCCCAAACATGTCCCTGTGTCCCAAGCATGTCTCCATGTCCCATACACATCCCCATATCCTGGATGTGTCCCCATGTCCCAAATGCGTCCCCATGTCCCAAACACGTTCCCACGTCCTGGATGTGTCCCCATATCCCAAACACATCCCTGTGTCCCAAACACATCCCCATGTCCCAGACATGTCCCCATATCCTGGATGTGGCCCCATGTCCCAGTGTCCCCATGTCCCAGACACATCCCCATGTCCTGGATATGGCCCCATGTCCCAATGTCCCCATGTCCCAAACACGTCCCAGTGTCCCCATGTCCCAATGTCCCCATGTCCTGGATGTATCCCCATGTCCCAAACACGTCCCTGTGTCCCAAACATGTCCCCGTGTCCCAAACATATCCCCATGTCCCAATGTCCCCATATCCTGGATGTGTCCCCATGTCCCAGTGTCCCCATGTCCCAGACACATCCCCATGTCCTGGATATGGCCCCATGTCCCAATGTCCCCATGTCCTGGATGTATCCCCATGTCCCAAACACGTCCCTGTGTCCCAAACATGTCCCCGTGTCCCAAACATATCCCCATGTCCCAATGTCCCCATATCCTGGATGTGTCCCCATGTCCCAGTGTCCCCATGTCCCAGACACATCCCCATGTCCTGGATATGGCCCCATGTCCCAAATGTGTCCCCGTGTCCCAAACACGTCTCCGTATCCCAATGTCCCAGTGTCCTTGTGTCCCAAACACATCCCCATGTCCCAAACAAGTCCCCATGTCCTGGATGTGTCCCCATGTCCCAATGTCCCCGTGTCCCCACGAGCTCCCCAGCCGCGCTGTGTCCCCAGGTCGCCTGTCGCTGGACTCACAGGACGGTGACAGTGGTTTGGAGTCGGGGCCGGAGCGGTTCCCGTCCGTCAGCGAGGTGAGAGCGGGCAGAGCCCCCCAGGTTCTGCCGGGAGGGGAGGGCAGAGCCCCCCAGGGGATTTCTGTGAATTTTGATGGATTTCTATGAATTTTTTTGGATTTCCATGACCTTTTATGACTTTCTATCACCTATTAATCTCTACGATCTTTTCTGCATTTTCATGATCCCCTACGACCATTTATGAATTTGTGTGAATTTCTGCTGATTTCTGTGATCTTCCGTTAATTTCCATTAATTTCTACAATTTTCTATGAATTTCTATGCTCTTCTATGGGTTTCTATGAAGTTCTGTGAATTTCTATGTATTTCCATGATCCTGTATGATGTTTTATTAATTTCTGTTAATTTCTGTGATGTTTTATGAGTTCCTGTGATGAATTTCTATTAATTTCTACAGTCTTCTATGAATTTCTATGAATTTCTATGAATTTCTATGAATTTCTATGAATTTCTATGAATTTCTATGAATTTCTATGGTCCTTTATGATCTCCCATGAACGTCTATGGGTTCCCATGATGTTCTATGATCTCCTGTGATCTCCTATGAATGTCTATGGCTTTCCATTAATTTCCATGATCCTTTATGATCTCCTATGAATTTCCATTCATTTCTCTGATCTTCTATTAATTTCCATGAATTCCTGTTCATTTCTACGATCTTCTACGAATTTCTGTGCTCTCCCATGATCTATTATGAATTTCTATGAATTTCCACAATCTTCTATGAAAACTTCTGTGATCTCCTATGATCTTTTGTGGATTTCTGTGAAATTCTATGGATTTCTGTGATCTCCTATGATATTTTATTAATTTCTATGACTTTCTATTAATTTCTGTGATCTTTTCTAGATTTCTATGAATTTCTATGATCTTCTATGAATTTTCTGTGCTCTTCTATGATCTCCCATGAATTTCTATGAGTTTCTATTCTGTTCTGTGGTCTCCTATGAATTTCTAATTTCCGGGATCTCCTATGAATTTCTGTGGATTTCCATTAATTTCTGTGATCCTTTATGATCCCCTAGGAGGGTCTGTGCTCCCCTATGAATTTCTGTTCATTTCTGTGATCTCCTATGATGAATTTCTATTAATTTCTATGATGTTTTATGAGTTTCCATTAATTTCTATGACTTTCTATTAATTTCTATGATCTTCTATGAATTTCTATGAATTTCTATGAATTTCTATTAGTTACTGTGACATTTTATGAATTTCTATTAGTTTCTATTAATTAATTTCTATGATGTTTTATGAATTTCTATTAATTTCTATAAATTTCTATAAATTTCTATTAA